GAGAGAGAGAGAGAGAGAGACTCTAGCAGAATGAAGCCATGAAGGGAGAAATTTGCTTTCTAACTTGTATTTATTTAGTTTATTTTTCAAGTACAAATTGGCTTTCTAACTTGTGTTTATTTATTTTCTTTTTCAATTGCAAATTTTGGTTTACACTATCTAAAATGAAATATCAGTAAGAGGTATTGGTGTTGTTCCAATGGCTAAGCTTGATGCTTCTTGTCAGTTAACATTGTTCATTCTTCTAGTAAAACTAATTACCATGGGTTCGTATGCAATGCTACTTTTGAGTGTTGTAACAAACTGTGTGCTTTTTTTGCATCAGACTTTCCTGCAATCAACGACAATGAGACTGGAAGAATGGAGAGTTAAGCGAAGGGATACAGAAGAGTGGATGAGGCATCGTCAATTGCCTCAAGAGTTACAAGAACGTGTTCGTCGGTTTGTTCAATATAAATGGATGGCTACACGTGGAGTTGATGAAGAATCCGTTCTACGCTCCTTGCCCTTGGACCTCCGTCGTGATATTCAGAGCCATCTTTGTTTGGATCTTGTTCGGCGAGTAAGAAATAGAAGCATTCTTCCACTATGGATTTTTACATATTTATGACTTAGGTTAATATGATTTGCTCCTATTGCACTCATTTGGACTTCTAAATCAGACATCTTCACCAATCAGACTCGTTTAATAAATTAAGAAACTAAAAAAAATATGATAAAATAAGGAAGATTGGAATAGAAAATTGTGGAAAAATCTGAAAAATTCCAGAAAATAGAAAATTTAAAGAAAAATTATTTTTTTTGAGAAGAGTTTACTGGATGTACTAGTTTTAAATGATCTATTAGGATTGATGGGCTCGACCTTTGGATTGTCTACTTACATTTTTCCATGTCCATTTCGAATATCTTAAACGAATGGGTAGCATCTCATTTCTTACTCTGATGCTACTTAGGGCATGGGGAAAGCTACTAAAGAAAAATTATTATAAACAGAAATAACCCATCAACCAATAAGTAAATACTATTAACAATAAAATAAGTCAATTAACCTTTGTTTTTGATAAAGTTAACCTTGAATTAATGAAAGGAGGGGTGGGCAATCCACAGGGCGGATGCTCCAAAGAAGAAATAAAAACGAATAACAAGTCGTCTTAAGAAGAGGTTACAACCAAGCAACCCAAAATAAGACAACACCACCAAAAGGATCTAAGAACCAGCCATGCTTGCTGCTGCTTTAGCCAGGGTCTCAGTATCCTAATTGCCTCCCTCCAACTGTGCAACCAGGAGATTTTTATCAAAAAAAAAAAAACTGTGCAACCAGGAGATGCTCTTATCCCTACATAGGTGTTCGATCTCCTCAAAGATGTTGGCCAAATACCATGGGGGAGGGGTGGGGGTGGACACCCATAAGATCACATTCTTGGAGTCACCTTCTATCGTAAGCGAGTCTAACCCAAGAGGCTGGATTAGTTTCAGGCCTTCCAATAAGGCAGTGGATTCTGCTTCAGTAGAGTCTGTGTGGTCAAGAAGCTTAGAGAGAGAGGTAATAGTACTACTGAGGTGGTCTCTGAGGAGCGCACCAGCTCCCGAAGGACCTGGGTTGCCCAGGGAGCAACCATTGAAGTTAAGCTTGAAAGTTCCCTCGGCAGGAAGCCTCCACAATGCTGCCCTCGAATGACGCTTGCAGTTGTGATGGAGGGAAACCTCCCAATTTTGTGCAAAGTCAGTGGCAGAGAGACCTTTTAAACTCTTGTGGTTAGTTTCCCAAAAAACAACTTTGGATTTAAGTTTGACGAGAATGTTGTACCACGACGAGTACTCTCCCCGGAAATCCGATTGTCTCGTTCTATCCAAATGGCCCACAAAGTGTCTGCTACCGTAGACTTCCATAGCAGAATGTCGGTCTTTGCCCAAGGGAAAGGTTGGACAGCTTGACAATATGAGGTACTGAGGACGGTAGCGCCCACTGGGCATTAAAGAGGCGTAGAAGCTCTCCCCACAGATTGAAGGCGTAGGGACAGTGTAAAAACAGATGAGTGTTGGATTCCGCGTCTGCTAAGCACATAACACAGCGGTTAGGTAACGAAATACCTCTTCTTTGGAGCTGGTCCACTGTGAGAACTCTTTGAGAGAGAGCAATCCACATCAAAATCTTGATCTTAGGAGGAGCAAACGATGACCAGGCATGTGCAATTAACGAAGTGGGAGGGAGTGGGAAAGTGGGGGATTGCGCCAATCTCTAATACATAGAATTGATTGAGAAAATACCAGAGGCTACCGGGGTCCAAATAATGCCGTCCTCTCCAAGAGTGGCCAAGAAGCACGATTGAAGCTCCACCGATAGCTCAGCAAAAAGGCTGAATTCATCGTCGTTTATGGCTCGTCTGAAATTGGGGTTCCAAGAGCGCCTCGAGCCGGTGACTGTCATTTCGTCGGCTACAGTAGTATCTTGTGAACGAGCCAAAGAGAACAGGGCCGGAAATATCTCTGAGATAAGAGAAAGACCAAGCCAAAGATCTTTCCAAAAGAGAATGCAAGTACCTCCTTAGGAAGCTATTTGATGAACTGTAAAAAGAAAGAGAAAGCTGCGCATATGGATTTCCATATCCCTGAAGATCTGGAGTTTGTGGCACAGTTATTAAGTAACCAAGGGGTCAATGGCAGACGATATTTGTGCCTCAGAATGTCAATTGAGAGATGACCGCTGAGTGTTGCTAGATTCCAACACCGCTTTCCTAAAAGGGGGAGGTTGTGCAGCCTCAGGTTTCTAATACCCAAGCCTCCCCATTTCTTCGGTTGACTAAGGATGTCCCAAGAAATGAGGTGAAACTTATGATTCGCTACCTTTCCTGACTAAAAGAACCTACACATCAACTGTTTGATGCGAGAAATGGATGGTAGCATGCATGAGGAAGATGGACATTTGAAACACAAGGATGTTGGCCAAAGTGGCCTTGATTAAAGTAAGTCTGCCTCCCGGAGACAGGAAACGACCATTCCAACCTGCGAGCTTCTTGTCCACCTTGTCAATGATGTGGGACCAGTCTCGCTTCTTAGGTTTGTCGATGCAGAGGCTTAGACCGAGGTACTTGGAGGGGAGCTTCTCTGCCCCACTACCCCAATTGTCTGCAAAAGACTTTGAGACTTTCAAAGTCCATGGCCACTCCCATCATTTTAGTTTTTTCCAAGTTAACTTTGAACCCAGTGACAAATTCAAAGCATCGAAGGAACATGAAAAGATTTGCACTCTCTTCTTCGATGGCATTGCAGAAAACTAGGGTGTTGTCAGCATATTGAAGGTGGGTGACCGTGGGGCTCTGGTTGGCAAGAGAGAAGCCATTTAAAAGACCGGCAGAAAACACCTCGGAGATGGACTGGCTGAACGCCTCTTGCGGATATGGAAAAAATGAAGGGGGAGAGGTGATCATCTTGTCTCAACCCTCTGGTGGAGGGAAAGTAACCTTTCGGGATTCCATTAATGAGGATGGAGAAGAAAGGTTGGGAGTAGCAAGCCTTCATCCTACTTCTCCACCTCGACCCGAATCCCATTCGAAGCTGGTTTTCTTCCAAAATATCCCAATCCACATAGTTGTAGACTTTTTTCCCAGTCCAATTTGACGATGAGGCCCGGTGCTTTAGCGAGATGTCTAGAGTGGACAACTTCGTGAGCAACCAAAGCACCATCGAGAATCTGTCTGTATGTGATGAAAGCACTTTGGTTGGGGGATATAACAAGAAGTAGGACAACTTTGAGACGGGTTGCCAGCACTTTGGATAAGATTTTGTAAGAGGAATCAACCAGACTAAATGGGTCAGTAGTCCTTAAGCTCTTTGACACTTTCAATCTTAGGAATAAGAGTGATAAAGGTGGCATTCATGTCCCTGTGTATGACTCCCCTAGAGTGTAATTCTTTAAAAAGAGAAAGGAAATCATCTCGAAAGGATTCCTAGAAGACTTTAAAAGGGGCCATGGGGTACCCGTCTGGGCCAGGTGCCCTATCTGAGTCCAGTTGGGAGATGGCCTCGAGGATCTTTGTCTCGTCGAAAGGTCTCTCCAGCCAAATCGCTTGATCACTAGGGAGAGAAAGGAAAGAGAGGTCCCCATAACCTGCCTAGGACCTCGAGGGCTAAGAAGCGATTTTTGAAATAGGAGAGGATATCATGTTCTATGTCTTGGGGTTGATCTAGAAGTTGTCTTCCACCAGAAGATGAGAGATGGTGCTGTCTCTTCGCCTACAATTAGTTGATTTGTGGAAAAAACCAGTGTTCAAGTCACCTGCCTTCAACGACTTGGTTATGGACCTTTGGTACCAGAAAATCTCCTCTTTCTTGAGAATAGAATGGTGGTTGAATTTCAGTTGCTCTCTAGACAGGGTTTTCGGGACAGAAAGAAGTCTCGATTCTTCAAGGGTGTCTAGGGACTTGATGGTCTGGAGCGTAGACAATTTTTGTGGTCCAAAAGAACCAGGTAGTTGATGACTCAAAGCTTTGAGATTACTTTTTAACAGCTGCAGTTTCCGTTGGCTTCTGAAGCCAGCGCAACGCAGAACAGAGTCAGACCAAGATTGCCACCAAGCGGGAAGGGGGTCTGAAAGAGCATACTCTTCCAACCATGCGAGCTCAACTGAAAGGTTTGGCTCCCCTTGTTGTAGGATTAGTGTTGAGCAAAATGGGACAGTGATTTGACGTCGGTTTGGCAAGGGCAACTACATGGGTTCTCGGAAATTACGAATCCCACTCTGTGCTAACGAGGAAACGGTCAAGTTTGGAGAGGGTGGGGGAGGAGGAGTGGTTGGATCAGGTGAACTGGGTACTCTGTATAGGTAAGTCGAGCAGGTTATTGAGGGCTACGAAATCTGAGAAGAGTTCCATAGCAAGAGTAATTCTGTTGCAGTTGTTTCTTTCAAAAGACCATCTGGTCACGTTGAAATCTCCCCCGATGCACCAAATTGAGTGAGGTAGGGAAGCTACAGGGTTAAGCTCTTCCCAAAGCAACGGTCTAAGAATGTCTTGGTTGGGTCCATAAACAGCAGAAAATTTCCAGTTCAAACCATCGGGGATCTTGGTGAGAAGTAGGGAGACAGAGGACCTGGCCACAGGGGAAGAGGAAAGAGAATGGGTTGTGGGATCCCAAATTAGCCAAATTCCACCAGGGGCCCCCTCTGAAGGGAGAGCCAGCCATTGGCAAGGACGTCTACCCCATACTTGTCTAATCTGAGCCAAAGTCGGTGAGGGTAGTTTGGTCGCCACTTAAAACAAAAGTCCTTTACCGCTTGCTTTTTTTGGGGGCAAGCCTAGCCCCCGAATGTTCTAAGAGAGGATCAACATCAAACAGAGTTGGGGGGAAGGAGATGCCTGGGGGGCCGTCTTAGAGGAGTCCCATAAAAGGTCGCAGGAAGAGGTAGGGGAGAGAGGGAGCTACTAGCAAGGTTGGAGACCTCGCAACAGATCTGCTTGTTGACCCGTGGTCGAGGATAAGCACTTGCTTTGAAAAACTCAACGAAAGGCCCATCGGGCCCAGTAAGAGGGAAGCCCATGACGTTCATCACGTTGAGGATGTTCCCTTGGCCGACAACAACTCCGTCTGCATAACTAGAGGTTACAGACGGAGGAGAACGAGAGTCGCCAAAGGAGTTGACCTCTAGCGATGAATCTTGATCTTCAGGCGACGAGGCTGTAACGTCAGATGTAAGAGGCGTTGGAGTGGTCAAGGACACGACGCCAGAGAAGGTTGTGCCGGTGAGGCCACAGGAGGCAGGGCATCCGTTGAAGAGGGCTGTAAAAGGGCCGAAACGAAGTTGAAAGGGTCATTAGAGACCGTTGGACCAGATTCTTGAAGCCGAGGCGAAATTCAACCCCATCAGGGGAAGCAGCAACGGTAGAAAAAGGTGGGGGAGGGGTAGCAGGCAAGGAGATACGGCTCGAGAATATAAAGCTTGAGCCAGGGTCGAGAGTGGGGAGAGGGGCAGGATCAAGTTCATGGGAGGGGTGGGGAGTAAAGGGAAGATGAGGAAAAACAGACGGCCCTGGCGGAGATCCGAGAAGAGGGGGATCCAAGTCGATGAGAGGCAGAGGTGAGAGAGCACAGTCGGTGAGAGGGGAGACATGATAGGCGAGGGAGGGGGGGTGAGGGGTAAAGGTAAGGGAGCCTGGTGGGTTGGACAAGAGGTTGGAGGAGAAGGGTTAGAAAGAGGCTGGAGGCCATCCACCGACAATAGCGAAGGTGAAGGAGAGACATTGAGAGGGAGGATCGAGGGAGAGGGGTTAGGTGAGGGCGGCAGCTCAGCAATTGAGGATGATGGGAGGGTGGGGGGGGAGATGTTGCCGTCGCCGGCCATTGGGGGAGGGTAGGAGCACCGGCCGAGAAAGAAGGAAGGGAAACGGAAGAGACCTGAGAAAGAAAAGACCAGCAGAGGGATGAGAAGACACCTGGGCAAGAGGAAGGTACACATCCATAGAAAGGGGGGGCAAAAGGAACGTAGGTGGGAAACGGGGCGTCAGTACAACGAGCAACCCCCATTGTTTAAAAAAAAGGTCCGCTCGGCCCCTAAGCGCCCGCCTAGGCGTTTTTTAACAAAAAACCGCACGCCTCATGAAAAGGCGCTCGTAACGGGTGTTTTTACCTGGGCGGGCTCCTAGTGAAGTCAGGAGGAAATTGCTTTTTAAATTCGCCCAAAAGGGCAGAATGGGTCATTTTGCCCCCCAAGTTTGTATAAAAAAGTTATAGGGTTTATTTTGAACCCCCAAAGTAAAACATATGTTGGGAAATGGAATAAATTACAAAATTTGACACAAATATATACGCATATGTACATTAGGATAGCAAATATTTTAAAAAAATGCTATGATTTTCCACTACAGGGCGCTCGAGGATTTGGGCGCCCGCCTAGGTGCTGGGTGCCAGGCTGGCTGCCTAGCGTTTTTTTATGCCTTGAGCCTGCCCTCTGAGCGAGGTGAAGAAGTCGGCGCTGTTGTCGAGGAGGATACGAAGCTTGAAGCGTCAGCAGGGGCAATAAAAGAAGGCGGCCGGATGATGCCGACAACTGGAGAGGGTAAAACCGGGGCAGGAGTGCACGCTCTACAGTCCTTATTGGGCTGATTGGGCGGTGCAACTAGCTCAATCGACGAATGAGGGTGCAATCATGAGCAACAGGAACACGGGGACGCATCTCCAAAGACGACGAGCCATGACTCGTGGTCAAACCAGAAAGGTGGGGGGAAGTTGTGATTAGAGGCGGCGCAGGTGACGGAGGCGGTGGAGGTGGTTGGGCTCGACATGCCAGGGGGTTGGAATGAAGGGCTGAGGCTGCCGACGGTGCTGGAGAGGGCGTTTGCGATGTTTTCGGGAGATCAAAGTCCACTGATTTGAAAGGTCGGGGTCAAGATTGGAACCGCTAGCAGGAGGAGGAACCGGGGTTAGGTGGCCACCTGAAATAGACCTACCTGGAAGAACGAAGTGAGGTGAAGGGGGAGATGCCATGGACCAAGAGAGAAACACTTGGTAGAAGCCCTTGAAACCTCTGCCCAGATGAAAGCAGGGATAGATTGAGGGTCCAAGACCTCAACGATCATGAGCAATGACCCAAGGGGGAGACTCTCCAGAGATTTCCAATGCACGGCTACAAAGGTGCCGCACGCGTCACCAATGGCCTGCGCACCAAGAGTGTAGGGGAATGGTAGAGGCCGTGAGCCAGACTTTCTAGCAGCGAAAAGCACCCAAGTCCTTGGACCATCTGGAGAGGTGGAGAGAAGCCCGAAATAAAAGTTGGAAGAAGACTTGAGGGTTCTAGAGGCGCTCTCTACCGATGGGAACGAGAAAAGATAAGAGCCACAGGAAAGTTTCCTGCAAACCAAACCAGGTTCCTGCCAGCGACTCTTTGCCCATCTTTCAATGCCGAAGGAGTCATCTCTTTGAGGGTGAAATTCCTCCACAAGAGAGGACCGAAACTGTTGAGCGAGAATGGAAGAAGGTGCTGGAGGGATGGAGATGAGGCGAAGAGGAGCAAGGGAGGGGGAGACAAAGGAGAAGAGGAGGGCACCATTTTTGAACAGTCACGTCAATTAACTATTGAAGAGACAAAACAGAAATTCAATATACTTGGACTTCAAAAAATGGCAGATTAGTGGCTGGATTCACCTTTGAAAATCACCCTAATGGAAAGCCCTAGATATGGGTGTTTATGTTATGTGGTGTTTTTTTACATAAAATAATTAAAAAACCGGAAAATACTGAAAAATTTCCAAAAATACTGAAAACAATGAATCAATCTCCACATTTTAATTTTTTTTGACATGAAAAAAAAAATTTCATGTGAAAAAACTCGCCCTTAAATTATGATTCATGATATCTTTCACTGTATTTGAATGTCTTTCATTGTTTTGTTTATGTTGTTTATTGTCTTCTTAATGACCACTAATCAAGAGTTTCAAGACCTGTTGCATGATTTCTTGCAAAAACCCAGAAATTTTTTGAAGTTTACTATTTTCCAACAAGAAATCAAACAATAAAAAATGGTTGAATATACTTACGTGGGCTTCAGAAAAATGCAGATTGATGTCTGAATTCAATCTTAAAAAATGTCCCCAGAAAAGGCCCTAGAGACAGTGGATTTTGGCTAGGGAGCAAAAATCCCCAAATGATCTCTCTCTCTCTAAAAATAATGTTAAACCCAGCACCTTTCTTTTCTGTAATTTGGAAAGGAGCAAAAAACCCCAAAACACTATAAAGGACAAAAAAAAGGTGGCCAAGGCGCAATTTATGTCTTTTAAATCATATTCTCAGACCAGTCGGTCCACCGGTCTAGTGCCGGTTCACTGGTCCAGTATTGTAGTCTGTTCAGTCTAAACAACATTGCTCTTAACAGTATATCTGCACGTTATTGACTTAGTGTAGAGAGATCAAATTAAAACAATAACATAAATTTAAAGATAATATATACCCTCTATCTAGCTTTTGCAAGGAAATCAAGTATTTGACTGTTTCTAGGCTTGCAAGGGAATTTACCCCAAGGGTTCTTTACGCAAGACCCAAAAAACTCGGTTCCTCTTCCTTACAAAAGAAATATATAAACTCTGATAGCAAACTTGACTCCCTATAAACCTAAGCCCTAATTACTGCCATTTTTGCCCTTGAGTTCTACACAAATAATTAAAATGACTAATATAACCCTAAGAAGAAAAAAAAGGGAACTCTTAAGTCCCTGAGAACATTTATGATTTGTCTTTTTTGTTTCTTTCTTTTCCTGTATGTCAATGAGCTCTTTTCCCTTGGGCTCGAACTGTTTATTATTGATATACAGCGGGCTATTCTCTGCTGAGCAGCCTCTTACTTATTTACAATGGACCTCTCTCTCTCTCAGGTCCCTTTCTTCTCCCAAATGGATGGCCAACTTCTGGACGCCATATGTGAGCGCCTGGTCTCATCCCTGAGCACTCAAGACACCTACATTGTGCGTGAGGGTGATCCTGTAACCGAAATGCTCTTTGTCATTCGAGGTAGGCTTGAGAGCTCAACAACCAATGGCGGAAGGAGTGGTTTCTTTAACTCCATAACACTAGGTCCTGCAGACTTTTGTGGAGAAGAGCTTCTCACATGGGCTTTACTTCAAAGCCCAGGCACGAACCTCCCTTCCTCAACCAGGACGGTTCGAGCCCTAGGTGAGGTTGAAGCCTTTGCTCTAAGGGCTGAAGACCTCAAGTTTGTGGCCAACCAGTTTAAGAGACTCCATAGCAAGAAGCTTCAACACACATTCAGGTTCTACTCTCATCAATGGAGAACATGGTCTGCTTGCTTTATACAGGCAGCATGGCTCAGGTATAAGAAGAGGAAGTTTGCAAAGGAGTTATTGAGGCAAGAGAGCCTCTTTTATAAGTCCAAGCAAGAGGGCTTGTCTCCAAGTTATAATGTGGGTGAAGTGTATGTGACAGATGGATTTCAAAATGGGCCACACCTTGGTGCTACGATATTGGCGTCGAGGTTTGCTGCAAATACGAGGAGAGGGATGAATCAGAAGATTAAAGCAGAGGATCCCATAGGGGATAGCATGCAGATGCCAATGTTGTGGAAGCCATTAGAGCCTGATTTTTCAACATATGGTGATGATGACAATGAGTGAGATTCATCTGGTAATGGGTTTTGGATGTAAGGGATGCAATGTTAAATGTTGGTCAGAGAGAGAGAGAGAGACCCAGTAGCACCTAAATGAGAGGGTGACGCGGGCAAAGAGAGTGACCCAATTTAACCTGAAATGAGAGACGCCCAACTAAAGAATAGTAGTGTGAGCCTGCTTGCCAAAAGGGTGGTTGATAATGAAATGAGTTTGAAGACATGACTGGTGGTAATACAAGATGTGGCAAAATTTTGCCGTAGGGGGCAGAACATGTTTGCTTTTGTTGAAGATGTGCCAAAGTAGTCTATGCTACTCTGAGGTCGGACATTGGCAGCGAGGAAGTGATGAGTGTTAGAGGTGGTGGCGAGAGGAGGGCAGGCGATTGGGAAGCAAGCATTTTGTAGCACTAATTGTGATTTTCTTTTTTGTATATGATTTACCTGATTTATCAAAAATTGGTTGCCATGTTTCAAAAACTTGTTTTTGGAATACCTCTATCGCCTATGTATGCTTTATCATTGATAAACTTTCAATTTTTCTTAATTGCAGTTAATTATGACTATAATGGAATCCCTTATAAATAGAGAGAAGGCAGGTGGAGCGAAACCTACGCCTCTAAGAGTAAAATATAAGGTTGATCTCGAGCTTAATACTTCAATTTAGAAAGTGTTATGAAAACGCTAAAAAACTTGAACTTCACCAAAAATTTGATTGAACCTTTGTTTCAATAATCAGACCTAGAGGGGCTCGCTGTTTGTGAAGGACTAAATACTCCCTACTTAGATATTTTACAATTTGGTCGAGACGAGAATCATCATCTAAGCTTTATTAAGATTCATGACAAGATGACAAGATGAGGTAAAGTTTTATGTGGGTTGCCTATCTAATGCAATCCATCTCTTTTATCTAACCACAGTTGAAAATTGAGTTATAAAGAAGAAAAAAGTTTACATGAAGTTGCAACTTTATATTGTAGAAGTAAGGTGCATCTCAAAGATCTAGTAGAAAAGAATGGTTGGAAAACTTTCCAATTAATCATCTTGATCTTGAAATATTTGGTATAAAGCAAAAAAAGAATTTCAAGTTTTAAAAATAGTTCATCTTGTAACAAATTATTGGACCGTTTATTTTTAAGATTTCGAAGTATTTATAAATTTGCTTAATAGTCTCCTTTTTTTAAAATTTTAAATTTCATAATTAAGGTAGATGATGTTCAAGCTATCGTATGGTTCCTAATATTAGAACTATATGTTCTGACAAAATTTAGAGGTGCACCTTACTTATATTGTATAAAGTGGGCAACTGATAAAACCTCATCCGATTGTAAACAATGAGACCATTTACCATTGTTACAAGGAGATCACAATCATTCCTAGCAATTAGATGTCAAATTGGATATATTATGAAGTTCGAGATTTTATTTATTTATTTATTTTTAAATTTTGAGTTTAGTCAATGATGCACTTATAACTACCTATTTAAAAGTTAGGTGGTTAAAAATAAATGGTCTTTATATACTTTTTTTTAAAAAAAGTTGGTCGTTAAAAATAAATGGTCTCTTCATATATTTTTTCTTAAAAAGAGGTTTAGGATCTAACTAATTTGAAAGGTAAAGTCAACTGGTTTTACCAGCAAAAAGCAAGTTTTTGGGTCAATCTTGACGGCCAACTGAAAGACTACCTAAACCCAAACTCCAACCAAGTCTCAGACCCGACCTTGCCAACTGACATCGACAATTTTGGCTTGACCCTAAACTGTAACCATGGCCGTGAACATCCAGTCTGTTATTCAAATTTTATATACCCCTATCAAAATCCACATAGTTGATCCCTGGGATGAAATCCACATTCATTAAATCACGGGTCGGATGAAATGTTAAATAGTTGATCCCTGGGATGAAATTTCATAAATTTCCCTTAATCTTCGAGAAAAAAACATTTACACGTACAAGTCATTTCATGTTGAATCTATCCCCTAATTTCATGCTTGCTATGTTTTTCAACACTAACATGCATCTATCCTTCACCAACATACTTTGATCGACAAGGTTAGCCACCATTCACCAACTGCAACACAAAACTTTCGAGTCACTAAATCATGTTCTTTACCATACTAAGAATAAATGATTCAATCATTTCCTCTCTTAAGTTGATAGATACTTTTCAAAGTCCTCGAATTCGGGCGTAACTTTTTTGACAAAAAACAAAATTGATAAGAACGTTTCATTTTTTCTTTTTACAAGAAACCTTTTATATTTTTGATAAAAAAAAACATTTGAAAAAAAAGATAAAAAAACAACGTTTCCAACTTTTTACAAGAAACCTTTCCAACTTTTTACAAGAAGCCTTTTATATTTTTGATAAAAAAAAAATTTGACAAAAAAAGGTAAAAAAAATTTATATTTTTTACAAGACACCTTTTATATTTTTGATAAAAAAAAATTGACAAAAAAAGGTAAAAAACATTTATATTTTATATTTTTGATAAAAAAAAATTTGACAAAAAAAAGTAAAAAAACATTTATATTTTTTACAAGAAACCTTTTATATTTTTGATACAGAAAAACAAACAAAAGGTAAAAAAACATTTATATTTTTGATAAAAAATAAATTTTGACAAAAAAAAGGTCAAAAAACAACGTTTCCAAAACCCCATCCATATGAGGATTTGAATCAACAACCTCCAC